TGGAATATTTTGAGGAGTATTGGAATTGGCTCTTCTTTGAATTTCTGGTAGAATTCTGCACCGAAGTCACCTGGGCCTGGGCTTCTTTTGTTTGTGAGACTTTTGATGACTACTTCTATTTCAATAGGGGTTATAGGTCTGTTTAGGTTGTTTATCTGCTCTTGATTTAGTTTTGGCAAGTGATATCTATACAGGAAATTGTCCATTTCCTTCAAATTTTTGAATTTTGTGGAGTACAGATTTTTAAAATATGCCCTGATTATTCTCTCGATTTCCTCAGAATCCGTTGTTATGTCCCCTTTTTCATTTCTGATTTTGTTAATTAGCATGCTCTCTCTCTGTCTTTTGGTTAGTTTGGACAGAGGTTTGTCTATTTTGTTGATTTTCTCAAAGAACCAACTCTTTGTTTAATTGATTCTTCTCAATGTTTTTGTGGTTTCTATTTGATTGATTTCAGCCCACATTTTGATTATTTCCTGTCATCTGCTCCTCTGTGGTGAGTTTGCTTCTATTTGTTCTAGAACATTCAGCTATGCTACTAATTCTCTAGTATGGTTGTTCTCCAGTTGCTTCATGTGGGCACTCAGTGCTATGAACTTTCCTCACAGCACTGCTTTCAAAGTGTCCCATAAGTTGCATATGATGTGTCTTCATTCTCATTGAATTCCAGGAAGTCTTTAATTTCTTTTTTTTATTTTTTCCTTTACCCAGGGATGGTGCATTTGTGCATTGTTCAATTTCCATGAGTTTGTTGGGTTTCTGTGATTTGTGTTATTCTTGAGTTCTAATTTTAATTCATGGTGGTCTGATAAGATACATGGAATTATTCCAATTTTTTTCTGTGGAGATTTGCTATGTTTCGTATTATGTGGCCATTTTTAGAGAAGGTTCCATGTAGCACCGAGAAGAAGGTATATACCATTGTGCTTGGGTGGAATGTTCTAAAGATGTCTGTTAAACACAGTTGGGTCATAACTTCTAGTAGTTCTTTTGTTAATTTTTTAAATTTCTGTATGGAGGTCTTGTCTAGATGTGAGAGCAGAGTGTTGAAGTCTCCTACTACTACTGTGTGAGATTTTATGTGAGATTTGAGCTTTAGTAATGTTTCTTTCACGAATGTAGGTGTCTTTGTATTTGGGCTGTAGATGTTTAAAATTGAGACTTAATCTTGATGGACTTTTCCTTTGATGAATATGAAATATCCTTCTTCATCTCTTTTTATTGCTTTTAATTTGAAGTCTAGTTTGTTAGATATAAGGATTGCTACAACTGGTTGTTTCTTGGGTCCATTTGATTGGAAAATCTTTTCTCAACTCTTTACTATGAGATAACATGTCTTTGATGTTGAGATGAGTTTCTTGTATACAGCAGAAGGATGGGTTCTGTCTTCATATCCATTCTGCTAGTCTGTGTCTTTTTATAAGCAAGCTGAGGCTGTTGACATTGAGGGATATTAATGACCATTGATTGATGATTCTTTTTTGTGCTTGATTTGTTGGTAGGGAAGTTATTTTGTGTAGTATCTCCTCCCTTTTTCTTTTGGTGTTTTGTAAAGCGGGATTATATATTACCTGTGTCTTTGTGTAGTTATCTTCCTTGGATCTAGGTTTTCCTACTAGCACTTTCTGTAGAGCTGGATTCATGGATATGTATTGTTTAAATCTGGCTTTGTCATGGAATATTTTGCTTTCTCCATCTATGGTAATTGAAAGCTTTCCTGGATATAGTAGTCTGGGCTGGCATCCTTGTTCCCTTAGCATTTGTAGGACATCTGTCCAGGATATTCTGGGTTTCATAGTTTCAATTGAGAAGTCAGATGTTTTTCGGATAGGTCTGCCTTTATATGTCACTTGGCGTTTTTCTTTAGCTGCTCTTAATATTTTGTCTATATTCTGTAGGTTTGATGTTTTGATTATTATATGGCGAGGTGACTTCTTTTTCTGGTCCAGCCTATTTGGTGTTCTGTAAGATTCTTCTATTTTCATAGACATATCCTTCTTTAGGTTAGGGAAGTTTTCTTCTATGATTTTGTTGAATATGTTTTCTGTACCTTTGAGCTGTATTTCTTTGCCTTCTTCTATACCTATTATTCTCAGGTTTGGCATCTTCGTGGTGTCCCATATTTCCTGGATATTTTGTGTTAAGGATTTGTTGGTTTTGAGATTTTCTATATCCTCTATATCCTCTAATGAGTCTTCAACACCTGAGATTCTCTCTTCTATCTCTTGTATTCTATTGGAGATACTTGCATCTGTAGTTCCTGATCGTTTACCCAGCTTTTCTATTTCCAGATCCCCTCGTTCTGTGTTTTCTTTATTGTTTCTATTTCAGCTTTCAATCCTTTAACTGTTTCAGTTGTTTCCTTCATTTTTTGATTGTTTTTTTCTTGATACTCTTTAGATATTTTGAGAGACTTGTTTATTTCTTGAACTTTCCCCCCATTTCCTGGATTTTTTTGTTTGTTTTTTCTTCTATTTCTTTAAGGGATTTCCTCATTTCTTCTTTGAGGGTCTCTATCATCTTCACAAAATAATTTTTAAGGTCTGCCTCCTCTGCTTCATCTATGTAGCACTTTTCAGGTCTTGCTGGCATTGGTTCCCTAGATTCTGGTGGAGTCATGTTGGTCTTTCTATTGCTAAGTGAACTTTTATTCTGTCTTCTTCCCATCTCTTCTTCCAGTGGGTGCTGGTGGGGTCTTCCCTTCTCCACTGGTCTCCTTCCTTACTGAAGCTGAACCTGGGGACGCTGACACTGAAGCTTAAGCTGAAGCTGGGGTCACCAGAGGTTGGGACCTGGAAGGGCTGATGACTTTCCTGTGTGTGGGGGTCTTCTGGATGCCAGGAGCAGTCTCCGGAAGCCTGAGGTGTTTGGTGTTGTGCAGGGGATCGGGAGTATCCCTCCAGAGACCCATGCTCACCTGAAGCTGGGATCTCCGGAGTGTGGGGCCTGGAAGGGTTGATATCTTTCCTGTATGGGTGGGTGTCTGGATGCCAGGAGTGGCCCCCCAGGGGATGGTTGTTGGATATGGGATGGGGAGTGTCCCCGAGGAGACCCAAGCTCACCTGAAGTTGGGATCTCCTGAGTTTGGGGCCTATAAGGGCTGATGTCTTTCCTGTGTGTGCGGGTATTCAGGATGCCAGAAGCGGCCTCCGGAAGATCGAGGGCAAGGGTATTGATCAGGTGATGGTAAGTGGTCCCCTGGAGACCCAATCTCAGCTGAAGTTGGGATCGCCCTATTTAGCGCAACTTTGGTTGTGGGCATCTTTTTTATTTTTACATCATTTTTCATTTTTAAAAAATTTTATATTAAATATACTTTGACCTTATTCTTTATCTTGCTCAAGTTCATACAGCTCCTTTCTTCCTCTGTGACCACCCCACCTTTTGGTCTTTCTATACAAATCAACAAAAAAAATACAACAAAAATCCCCCAAATTTAGAGGAAAAAATACAGCATCCCAAAAAGAAAGAAGCAGGAACAACAACAAAAGTAATGAAATAACAACACACAGAGAAATGCCGGATCTGTTTTTTGTTACCAACTAATCCTGATTATGAGCCCTGCCCTGTGAGTGACTGGCACACCCAGTTTCATTCCATTGAAGAAAAATAGCTTTCCATTGCTCAGGAGGTAGAAATGTCAGTTCAGTTGTTAACCTTTACACTTGTGGCTCATTTTCTCACTAACTGACAAGATAACTAACCATTAACTAACTAAATAACTACCTAGCCTACTAGCTAGCTATCTTATTAACTAAAATAAAATATGGGAAATAAAAAATTGTAGTATGAAACAAAACCTATCATCTCAGAATTAGACAAAACAAATAGAAGGAAAATGGCCAAAGAGAAGTCACAGAGTAAAAGAATCATGAGTTTGCACACCCAGGTATTACATAAAAATACGAATCTGGAAAACATACTTTAAATGAAGAGGACCTGGTACAGATGAGAAAAATCCCTGTGCATGATGCTTCAATCTCTATGAGTTCTTATGAGCCCCTAAGGCTCTTACATTCTTCAGCTTTCTTTTCTGTGGGATTCCTTGAGCACTGGTGATAAAACACCAGTACCAACACAAGTTACAGAAGTGAAAGTTCATTTGGGTTTGTGGTCCCAGATGCTGAAAATTCATCATGTCTGGGAGGCATGACAGTAGGCAACAGGTCAGAGTAACAGCAGGAAGCTGAGAGCTCTTATCTTGAACCACAAGCACAGTGAAGCAGGTAGGAAAAAAATTGGCAGTAGTAATTTAGCTCTGAAAACCTGCCGTCAGTAGCATACTTCCTCCAGCAAGTCCTCATCTCCAAAAACTTCACAAATGGGCCACCAACTATGGAACAAACATTCAAATATGGGAGCCTACGAAGGACCCTCTCTTTCAAACCACTACCACTGACTTATTTCTCAATTTGTTTGCTATTTTTATCCATTTATTTGAGAGTCTCATGTTTAGGGGAATAGACTCAACGTATGTCCTTAGGCTCCTATGAATTTCTTCAATCACTGCTATATTTTTCTCCTTTTTTGTATTTTGATGTTCCTAATTAGGTTGTTCCCTCTCTCTGTGTGTCTCTCCCTGTGTCTCAGTTTTGAGGTTATTATGTGAGAAGGGAATTCAGATTGAGAGACCTTTAGCTAGTTTCCTATCTTCAATTGATTTCCCTGTTTCATGCAACTGTTTGTGTCTGCAAGATCTTGTCAGAGGCAGAGCTCTTGGTGTGTCTGGGTAGTAAATGTGTTCATGGAAGTTACACAGAAGGAACAAGGCTACATTCTAGAAGCTTACCTATGTCTAGGGGGAAAAGTGAACTCAAGGAGAAAGGGCAAAATATATCTGTCTATGATTGCAGCTAAGTAGGTATAGACAAATTCAAGAGCTTAACTGTTGAGAATTCAAGGGGGTGGTCAGACTAGGCTATGACAGTGGATGCATCACAAAGGCTAGAGTGTTCTCAGAATGTCCTGGATTCTGAAGTCAAGGAAACTCACTGGGCTTAAGCCTAGAGGAGCAGTGTGGAGGTGGATAACAAGTGGGAGAGAGGATCCTTCTTTAGGAGTGCCTGGGTATGGTTACAGGTAGGACATTTCATGGTTGAGGCCTAGAGGTTGGCTGGGCTGACAGAATTTGATGGAGCTAGGGCTGTGGGACCCATGAAAGAACATGGAGATTAACATGGAGAGTCTGTGTTCATTGTATGGGGATAGAGACAGTACCAAGGAGGCCTATTGGTGGTTGCAGGTAAGTCTGGTACTGGTAGAATCCTAGACATTGGCTTCATTGTAGACAGTGTTTGTCAGAGTACTAATGCGTAAATTACATGAACATGGCTGAAGTCTGCGGGTCTCTGTTGCACAGACAGTAAGAATCATATTAGTTGATGGCACTGGTTATGGCATTAACACTAGATATGGTTGCAGGAATAAACCTTGGATGTTGAAGTTAGGACATACACATTGAAACCTGGAAGAGGACATGGGAATTCAGAGTACTAACAGGGGTGGTGGGGAAAATTAGATAACAGACATCAGGCAAGTTGCAAGAAAGGCCATCTCAGATGAAGGCAAGAGCTTCTCTGAGACAAGAGTGGATGTGGTCATCCTAGGTTAGTGCAAACATGTGGAAGCCTAGATATTGGCTATCACACAGGTTAAGTGGCCAGACTAGAACAGGACACTGAATGTGGGACAGGTTTGAACTACCAGGTCACATGAAGGCTTCAGTGGAGAAGTCCAGGGAACCAACCAAGCTGACCCCAGAGGAGGCCTTGGGTGATTGCATACCAAGTCACTTGATTGCAGCCAAACACAAAGGGTCAGGGTGGACCTTGGAGGTAAAGGTGGGAAGAAGGGTTTATTGTCTGGGTTCTCTAGAGAACATAACTCATAAAATCAGTATGTGTGGGATATATTACAGTGGCTTACAGGCTGTAATGTGACTAATCCAACAATGGCTGTCTACAATGGAAGTTCCAGGAATGCAGGAGATGTTCATTCTACAGGTCTTATTGTTTCAGCTGGTCTTCAGTAGGCATCTAAATCCCAAAGAAGTAGGCTCTAATGCTAGTGAATCAAGAGCTTGGGCAAGCAGGAAAAGAGCAACAATTTCTTTCTTCCTTTTATTTTACCTAGGCAGCCACACCCCATTCTACCCCACACCATAGGTAAGTCTTCACATTTAAAGTGATCTGGATTTAAGGTGGGACTTCCTACTTCATATGATCCATAGTTGTGCTCATTGACTTGGATTTTTAGGTAATATCAGATGTAGTTAGTTGATAATTAAGAATAGTAATCATAAATAGGTAAGGAGGGACATGGTTAAGGGAAACAGAAGGAACTTATGACTGGTTTGGTGGAAACCTAGACCTTGGCTCCTTTGACATTGGGGGTAGACATAGTAGGACTATGAGAATGTCTTGGTATAAGGCCTACATCTATTGGGCTACAGAAAGGTTTGGTGGGAAAACCAAGGGCACTCATTGTCCTTGCTCTTCAGGAGGACATGGGAAATATTGGTACCTAATGAGGTAGTGGAGGAAGGCTAACTGTGTGGTTTATAGGGAGGGCAGTTGTTGGTGAAATCCTTGACCTTGGGTATGGTATTCTCAAGGTTGGAACATGTGATATGGGACCCATCATAGACCCTAGAGAAATATATTTTGAGTGAGTTGATGGATGCATCCCAGAAAGGGTCTGTGAATGAACACAGGTAGGGTGTCCTGGATATATCCTAGAGCTTGGATGTATCCCAGGAGAGGGCATTTCATCTTGTCCTTGTCACTGGATGTTAACATGTGTTAGACTGCGAATGAAGTCCTGTGTAGTCTGAACACAAAATACCGCTTGAGTCATACTGAAGGGATCAGAGCACTCCTGATACAGGGCAAGGTAAGTCTAGGTGCTGAGGGATATGATGGAAAAACCACAGGAGGAAACTGGGTGGTTACATGTAGGGTGAGTGCTGCCAGACGCCTAGTTTTTTGCTGCACCACAAGTAGGGTGTTGGAGTCAGACTAGTTTGGAACATGGGTGGTCGAGTACAGATTAGGCAATGGAAGAACATTCAGGGTTTGGACCTATTAATGTTTGCATTTAGGATGGGTAATATCTGAAGCACAGAGCTAGTTTGCAAGCACAGGCAGGGGTTTTCAGAGTAGGCTAGGCAGAGAATATGGGATAGGACTTTGGAGACAACTGTGAGGAATCTGTGTACTGAGCAGTAATGGCCACACAGAAGGGTTTGTGCTAGACCATGGAAGCTGAGGTAGGAAGTCTGGTACTAAATAGCATGTTGGAGGCAGCCAAGAATGTAGCTGTGGGTAGATGCAGGTAACGTGAATCCTGGACAAAGCCTGCAGCTGGGGAACAGTGAAGTCTCACGTGGTCATACTAGGCTGCTGCAAAATATTTGCTTCACTGACAATGTCTGGTTATGGCTGCTGTGTCGTTACAGTGTGAGGTGCAAACTAGGCCAAGAAACTAGTTTTATGAACTGTAATAGATCTTGCATGTAATGGAAAGATGTTAATGAGCTTCGATGGTGAGGTCAGGTCTACTTACCTGTCTACACACTACTGGACGACACAGAGAGTCTTTGCAACATGTGGCTTTATGAATGCTGCCTCTAAGGTCCCTATGTATAATTGCTTGTAGGACAGGTCCTGGGTAAAACCTCGAATTTGTCTGCAGGAAATCCATGGTGTTCTCATAAGTCTAGAGTAAAGGATATGGAACCTTAAAGAAGTACAGATGTTACCTGATGTACAGGTGATCATGACCAGCCCAGGCTGTGAGACTCAGGTTTTAGGACCTGCTGGTTTTGAGCCCAGGCCAGATCTGGCCAGTTGTGGGAAAGGTTTGGATGGGAATCCAAAAGTGCTCATTGAGTCTCCTGATGGACCTCAGCTGAGTACATGAAGAGTCTTTGTGTTAAGTACGTTGATTGGGCGGTCAAGCTGGGTTGGCACCCAGAAAGGATCAGGCTAAACCTCGATTGAGGTTGTAAAACAATTGGATACCAAGCAGTGAATTAGAGCTTGTCGAGAATGTGCCTACGCATAGCTGCAGGTAGGCCATGTGGTGATTGATCAAAGCCTAGAACTTGGCTGTAGTACAATCTGTTGTGGTCATACTGGGCATGGGAAAAAGCTGTGGGATAGTGTAATGAGAAGCTTTTTCCTTGAGAGAAGCCTTCCCGCAAGCCTGGTTCTAGAGCCTCATCAGTCGCAAATAAACACACAGGAGGCTATATTAGTTATGAAGCTGTTGGCCTTGTTTGTCTCTTACTGGCTAGCTCTGCTTCAAGTAATTACCCCATAATTGTTAATCTAAGTATGTTTCTTACCGGAGAATAGTTCCGAGCTCCTACCCCATGGCGTTACATCTTGAATCTCCTCTGTTTCTCCTTCCCAGAGTCTTCCTGGAGTCCTAGTCCCACCTATCTTGATTCCCTATAGGCCAGCAGTGCTTTATTGACAAATGTACAGGACTTCCCCCCAACAGGATAGGGTCTAGATCAGGTGTGTTTTAGAAAATGTATGAATGAGTATGTCAAGGTCAGGCCTTATCCTAGATGATTAAATGTGAAGTCTGGTTGCCTAATGTGGTGGCAGAGGTTTCACAGTAGGTACCTGTAGCCGAACCCTGGGAACGTAGGTTTTGATTAATCTTAGAGCTTCTCTCTGTGCCAAGAATGTGTGGTTAGACTATGCTAGTACCAAAGATGTGTGACCCTGGTAAAGTCGAGAATTTGTCTGTTGCACAGACATGGCTGGCTAGAGTAGACCATGATTCTGGGTGTCAAAAACCATGCTTAGATCTGGTGGGCCTCAGAACAGGCATGACAGGGAGGTCAAGGGAACTTACCTGGCTATACCCTGGAGGATGACATGAAAACTCTGGGTACAAAGTAGATGGTGGAGGTTGCTCAGAAGGGACCTATAGGTGGCTTCATACAGGGTTTTCCTGATTGAAGCCTAGACCTTGTCTGAAGAACAGGCCTTGGTGTTTAGACTAGGCTGATAAAAAGGAAGTGATAACTTGAAGAGGCCTAGATGTTGGCTATTGTGCAGCCTTGTGTGACCAACCTAGGCCAGGGTGCTGCTTGTGGGATCTAGGTTAGATCTGGAGACTTGAAAAAGAATAATGAATGGGGATATTTGTGGAATCCACTGGGATCAAACCTGTAAGAGGACAGAAGTCTGAGGTCCTAATGAGGAGTTGTGCACATCACAGAAAGGACCTAGGAATGGTTTCAGACAGGGCAATATGTGTTCTTAGGCTTTAGTTGGGTTCTGAAATATGAAGTAGTGGTCAGTCTATGCAGGGCTGGTTGGTGTCAGATGAATGACAGACACTGCAGGCTTAAATAGGAAGTCTGCCGACAGAAGAGTTGGTACAGATGTTCTCAAATTGGCCTCTGGAAAGCTGCATGGAGCCTGAACTTGATAGTGAGACCCTATTGTGGAGAACATCACAGCTTTGATCTCAGTACATGAGATCCTTAGTTTTATAGTGTCAAAGGATGCTTTGCCAGCAGCTGGGCAAGAAAAGTCAATCATTGCTATACCCAGCTGCAAAAGCTGCACGTTAAAACACTGATGGTTCTGGTAAAGATTTGCTCATGGGTACAATAGTGGCATGAATGTTATAGAAGTAACTGGCCCCTTTCTTGTTAGGGTTATGGCCCACTCCACAAGGGAAATCCAATGGCTATTACAGTTAACCTAACCAAGAGCCCATGACTAAAGAAATCATAGGCCCAAAAAGAGACTTCCTACAATTATTTTGTTAAATGTGCATAATGAGAATGTGCCTTCTAAATATGTATTTTGATATCCCTATTTTAGTGTAGTTCTTTGTCTGCATCAATGATCCTTCTTCCTGTAGTGTGCTGAGGTTACCTATGAGACTCACAACTGGTAAAAACGCCATGTCTATGGAGTGTTTAGCCATACAAGGGGCCATTATATCACACTCTGTCTCATTAAAGCTCTGGGAACATCATCGAAGAGGGGCCAGAAAGATTGTCAGAGCCAGAGGTTAGAAAGGATCAGGGTGAAACAGTGTCTTTTGAACAAAGCATGACTATGTCATTGATGAAATCATTGTGGTTGTGATAGACTGCCCAAGATCAAACCAGTAAACTCCCCTACAATGAATTGGCAGGGACACATGAGCTAGGGACATCATTAACTGAGGACTTATTGGCAGTTGATGACAGTTAGGAGAAGGAGAATCAGAGTTTTTAGGGCTTTGAGCCACTGTTGGGTTGGCCATACACAAGATGACTCAACAATGGGCAATTTTTAGACAACACTAATCAGATTCATTGCATCATTAAAAGAATAACAACAGTCATAAAGGAAAAGTTGATTGAGACATTGCAATTGACAAAGATTCTAAGGAAGTTATCATAATCTTAGAGCCCAGATCAGCTGCTGCTGTGTACACTCCCATCTGCAGCTGTATTGAGACTCTACACTATTAGGCTCCAAGAAGGTGGGGGGTATGAATAGTGTATTCTGTGTGATGGCACAACAGTAGCTAAATGCACCCCTCTTCTTCCATACTGAAAGTCATGTGTTGATTACCTAAAATGTAAGATCACTTTCCTTTCCCCTGTCACACAGGAAATATAGAAGCCTAGGTACACGTGTGCATGATAGACTGCTCATCAGTCACAGAGCAAGGAACATTTCTCCTTCTTCTGAAGTCTATAAGGAGGGACCCCTCTCTACTTCATGAGCTATATCTTGATCCAGAACCACTTTCATGATCCCATCTGTCTGTCTATGGAATTAATAATTCTAATCTTTGATCCTCAAAGGACAATGTGTCTAAGTGTTGTCCTTGAACACAAACCTGCATTCTTTCATACTGGTGATGATTTCCAGAAGGGTATTTTCAAGCCATGTAGTGAACAAGAATGGAGAGAATGGACATCTTTAAATATTTTTCCACGGTCCCTGATTTTAATGAAATCCTACAATTTTGTTTTCTCTATTTAGGGAAAATTTGGTTGTGGGCTTTTTAATTTTTTCATCATTTTTGATTATTTGAAACATTTTTACATTAAATGTAGTTTGATCTTACTCTTTTTCTTCCTCAAGTTCATCCAGATCCTTTCTTCCTCTCTGACCATGCCATCTTTTGGTCTTTTTTAAATATAAAAAAAAACCAATACAACAAAAATCCCCCAAACCTAGAGAAAATAGCACAGCATCGCAAAAAGAAACCAGCAGGAACAGCAACAAATGTAATGAAATAAAAACACACACAGAAATGCTGGATCTGTTGTTTGTTATCAACTCCTTCTGATTATGAGACCTGCCCTGGAGTGACTGACATATCCAGTATCATTTCATTGAAGAAAAATGTGTTTCCCTCTCCCAGGTTGTAGCAATGGCAGTATAGTTGTTAACCTTTACACTATTGTCTCGTTTTTAACTAATTAACTGACTAGCTAACTAACTATTTACCTAACTAACTAACTAGGTAGCTAATAAATAAAATAAGGGAAATAACATATTGTTTTATGAAACAAAATCTATCACCTCAAAGTTACTCAAATAGAGGAAGATATCCAAAGAGAAGTCACAGAGTCAAAGAATCATGAGTTTGCACACCCAGGTATTACATAAACACACTAATCTGGAAAACATACTTTAAATGCAGAGGACCTGGTAAAGACCAGTGAAGGCCCTGTGTATGATGCTTCAATCTCTATGAGTTCATATGAGTCGCTATGGCTGGTGCATTCTTCAGCTCTCTTTTCTGTTGGATTCCTTGAGCACTCTTGATAAAACACCAGTACACACACAGGTGACAGAAGTGAAAGTTCATTTGGGTTTGTGGTCTGAAAGTCCATCATGTCTGGGAGGCATGACAATAGGCAACAGGTAACAGAGTAACAGCTAGAAGCTGAGAGCTCTTATCTTGAAACAGAAGCACAGTGAAGGAGGTAGGAAAAACAAAAAAAAATTGGCAGGAGTTATTTTAGCTCTGAAAACCTGCCCTCAGTAAAATACTTCCTCCAGCAAGTCCTCATCTCCAAAAACTGTCAAAATGGGACATCAACTGTGAAACAAATATTCAAATGCCAGAGCTAGGAAGGACACTGTCATTCAAAGCACTACAATTGATTTTTTCTCAGTTTGGTTCCTATTTTTATCCATTTATTTGAGATTTTCATGTTTAGGGGGATAGACTCTTTCAACATATGCCCTTATGCTCCTATGAATTTTTTCAGTAACTGCTATATTTTTCTCCTTTTATCTATTTTGATTTTACTAAGTTGGTTGTTCCCTCACTCTGTGAGTCTCTTCCCATGGCTCTCTACTTAGTTCATTTCTTAAGGAAGTATCCAGATTGAGAGGCCTTTAGCTATTTTCCTACACTGAATTGATTTCCCTGTTTCATTCAACTGTTTGTGTCTGCAAGATCTGATCAGAGGAGGAGGTCTTGGTGTGTTTGGGTACTAAATATGTTCATGGAAGTTACACAGAAGGTACGAGGCTACATTCTAGAGGATGTGCTAAGTCTAGGGGGAAAAGTGAAGAGGGGCAAAATATGTCTGTCTATGATTGCATCTAAGTAAGTATGGATAAAGGCAAAAGCTTAAATGCTGAGCAGTCAGGGGTGGTCAGACTAGGCTATGACAGTGGATGCATCACAAAGGCTAGAGTGTTCTCAGAATGTCATGGATTCTGAAGTCAAGGAAACTCACTGGGCTCAAGCCTAGTGGAGAAGTGTGGAGGTGGATAGATATTGGTACAGAGGAACCTTCTTTAGGAGTGTCTGTGACTGGTTACAGGAAGGGCATTTCATGGTTGAGGCCTAGAGCTTGACTAGGCTGACAGAGTTTGAAGGAGCTGGGGCTATGGGACCCATGATAGAACATGGAAAATAACATGGTGAGTCTGTGTCCATTGTATGTGGGTGGACAGAGTTCCAAGAAGGCCTATGGGTGCTTGCAGGTAAGTCAGGTACTGGTAGAATCCTAGAGATTGGCCTCAGTGTAGGCAGTGTTGGTCAAAGTACTAATGAGTAAATTATATGAACCTGGCTGAAGTCTACGGGTCTCTGTTGCACAGACAGGGAGAGTCACATTGGTCCATGGCCCTGGTTATGGGATCAAGACTACATATAGTAGCAGAAAAAAATGTTGGATGTTGAAGTTAGGACATACACATTAGAACCTGGAAGAGAACATGGGAATTCAGAGTACCAACTGGGGTGATGGAGAACAATAGATAAGAGACCTGAGGCAAGTTAGAAAAAAGGCCATCCCAGACGAAGGCTATAGCTTCTCTGATACAAAGGTGGTTGAATTAAGCCTAGGTTAGTAAAAACATGTGGAAGCCTAGATATTGGCTACCACAGAGGTTAGGTGGCCAGACTAGATCAGTACACTGAATGTGGGACCATGGTTGAAAAACCAGGTTACATGAAGGCTTCAGTGGTGAAGTCCAGGGAACCAACCAAGCTGACCCCAGACGAGGCCTTGGGTGTCTGTATACCAAGTCATTTGATTGCAGCCAAGAACAAAGGGTCAGGGTGGACCTTGGAGGTAAAGGTGGGAAGAAGGGTATATTGTCTGGGTTCTCTAGAGAACATAACTCATAAAATGAGTATGTGTGGGATATATTACAGTGGCTTACAGGCTGTAATCTGACTAATCCAACAATGGCTGTCTACAATGGAAGTTCCAGGAATGCAGGAGATGTTCATTCTACAGGTCTGATTGTTTCAGCTGGTCTTCAGTAGGCATCTAAATCCCAAAAAAGTAGGCTCTAATGCTAGTGAATCAAGAGCTTGGGCAAGCAGGAAAAGAGCAATAATTTCTTTCTTCCTTGTCTTTTACCTAGGCAGCTACGCCCAATTCTACCCTACAATATAGGTAAGTCTTCCCACCTAAAGTGATCTGGATTTAAGGTGGGACTTCCTACCTCAAATGATCCTGTTAACTAAAATCCCTGTGTAGGCTCTAATGCCAGTGAATCAAGAGCATGTGCAAGCAGGAAAAGAGCAATAATTTCTTTCTTCCTTGTTTTTTACCTAGGCTGCCATGCCCAATTCTACCCCACTATATAGGTTATTCTTCCTACATAAAGTCATGTGGATTTAAGGTGGGACTTCCTACCTCGAATGATCCAGTTAACTAAAATACCTCACAGGTGTGCTCAGTGACTTGGGTTTTTAGGTAATATCAGATTTAGTTAGTTGATAATTAAGAGTAGTAATCACAAATAGGTAAGGAGGGACATGGTTAAGGGAAACAGAAGGAACTTATGACTGGTTTGGTTGAAACCTAGACCTTGGCTCCTTTGCCACTGGGGGTGGACATAGTAGGACTATGAGAATGTCTTGGGACAAGACCTACATCTATTGGGTTACAGAAAGGTTTGGTGGGAACACCAAGGGCACTCATTGCCCTTGCTTTTCAGGAGGACATGGGAAATATTGGTACCTAATGAGGTAGTGGAGGAAGGCCACTTGTGGGGTTTACAGGGAAGACAGGTGTTGGTGAAATCCTTGAACTTGGGTATGGTATTCTCAAGGCTGGTGCATGGAATATGGGACCTATATTAGACCCTAGAGAAGTATATTTAGAGTGTGTTGATGGATGCATCCCAGAAAGTGTCTGTGGGTGATCACAGCTAGGGTGTCCTGGATATATCCTAGAGTTTGGATGTATCCCAGCAGAGGGTATTTCGTCTTGTCCTGGCCACTGTATGTTAACAAGTGTTAGACTGTGAATGAAGTCCTGTGTAATCTGAACACCAAAAACTTCTGGGGTCATACTGAAGGGATCAGAGCACACCTGTTAGAGGGCAAGGTAAGTCTAGGTGCTGAGGAATATGACGGAAAAACCACAGGAGGAAACTGGTTGGCTACATGTAGAGTGAGTGCTGCCAGAAGCCTAGTTTTTTGCTGCACCGCAAGTAGGGTGTTGGAATCAGACTAGGTTGGAACATGGGTGGTCGAGTACAGACTAGGCAATGGAAGAACATTCAGGGTTTGGATAACAACACAGTTGATGTGGGTCACATAATAGGGGTCAGGATAGACCCTGAAAAAGGAGGTGGGGAACCTGGTTATTCAGGAGCATTGGTGAAGCATCATGGTAAGTACTGGTGGGTTATTGCAGGTAAGTAAGTCCTGGTCATAGCCGAGAGCATGGATGTGGTTACAGCTGAGTTAGTCAGACTAAATCAGGACAGGAGATGTGGAATTCTTAGGAAGCCTAGAGATCAGCTGCTGTGGAATCTGAGCTACAACTGGAGGGTTGCAGAAACGAGGTATATGTAGACATCAAGCGAAGTCACCAGGCTAGACTTTTAAGGAGGATATGATGCTAAACAGAAGGGATCAGGTTAGACCCTGAACAATGATGTGGCCAATCTCATTATCCAGTATTATGATAAAGGCTACCTATAATATTTTCTGAGGTTGTTGGGGTCTATAGGGGCCCCTTAGTCAAGGTCGGAGTGTGCAGTGGTAGCCCATCTGGAATCATCCCTGAAACCCAGAGACAATCAGATGCAACAGGGCATCAAGTCAAGCCAGATCTCATTTATTGTATAACAGTAACGCTCTCTTAAATCAGAAATTTGCAGAGTGGCAATAGTATTACCCTGTAGTTTTAAAGGTATGCCTATTATGTATCTAGTGTCCTATTCCCTCTCGGGCACCATCTGGGAGTATGATAACCTCATCATGTGTGAGATTGGGCAGGCAATTGATATTCTTAGTAAACACTTGAAGGCTTGTCTCTGTAGCTTCCTCCCAGTGCCATGTTGTAATGTCAATGGTTGTCATCTTGGATCACTCCCTCTTCTGGTGGGACACGATCAGTTGTGGGTGTCTGCAGGTTAGAATGAGCCCTGCTATAAGCCTAGAGCTCTTCTGGAGTACACTTGGTTTTGATAAAATAGGCAGAGGCAAAGATGTGGGGCCCTGGGGAAGCTAAGAATTTGGATGCTGAGCAAGCATAGCTGGCATCATTTGGCAAGGGCAATGGATTGGGGCCTGGACTAAATCCGTTGGGTTTGGTGAAAATCTTAGGTAGGGAGGGGAGAGTTACAGACAAAGTTAAACTGTTCATGAGAACATGGAAAGTCGGGGAACAAGTGCAGTGCCAGAGGATTGCAGAAGGGACCATTGGGTGGGAGGTGGGGGGTAGAGCAGTCCTGCCTAATGCCCATTTTTTTGGAGTACAGGCCTTAGTAGTCCCACTAGGAAAAAGGTGCGGGATACTGCAGAAGTATAAATGTTGGCTTCTGTGCAGGTGAGCCTGAACAGACTAGGCTAAAGCACTGGTTGTAAGACCCAGACTATATCTGGAGGGTTTCAGAGAACACTTGGATTAGGAGGTTTGGGATGCTTACCTAGCTCTTTGCTGAAAAAAGTGTTTGGATTAAGAAGTCAGTGATACTCCCCCTGAAAGATCACAAATGAACAATTGGGTACATAATGGGTTGGTGAGGGCTTCATGGGAGGGATCTGTAGGTGGTTGCAGTTAGCATAGGTTCTACCTGAAACCTAGAGCTAATTTTCTCCTCTATGGCAAAATTGGTCAGTCTAGGTGAGGGCATAAGATATGGGTCCATTGCTAGAACCTGGAAGAACATGGGGAGTCTCAGTACTTAGTGGCATGGTGGTACTACATGGTGTCAGGAAGGAAGTATCCTGGTCAAAGCCTAGAGCTTTGGGCTGGTCATACTAGACCAGGCAAAGGATATAGGACAAGGGTTAGATTTAGTAGGTTGCAGAAAAGTATCAGATGGGGCGGTCATCCACTTGCTGATTGTGGGACTTGGGCTGAATCGGGAACTCACTAGGCTTGACCATTGCTAGAGTATAGCAGGTGAAGAAGTGTGGTTAGCTATTGTGGTTGGTGGAAGCTGCCCAGAAAGAACCTGTAGGTGGATTCAGGTAACGTGGGTACTGGCTGAAACTTTGAGCTCATCTATAGCACAGGCTAGACTCTTCAGACTAGGCTGATAAAAAAGATTTGAGACATTGTAAAACCTAGATGTTGGCTGTTCAGGCTGGGGTGGCCAAACTAGGCCAGGGTACTGGTTGTAGAACCCGTGTTAGATCTGGGTGTTGAAGAAAACGAATGGATGGGGTATCTAGGGAACATACAGGACTCAACCGTAGGAAGATATGGAAAGTCTGGATATCTACTGAGGTAACTGTGCAGAAGGGACTTGTGGCTAGTTGCAAGTAGGGCAGGTACAGGTGGAAATCTATAGTTTGGTTGTGGTAAATTCATGGGTGGTCAGATTATGGAGGTGCATATGATATGGGACCAATGATAGAACCTGGAACATTATATGAGGGTCTTGGTACTCAATGGGGTGGTTCATTTTGTTCAGAAGGGTTCTATTGATTGTTGCAGGTAGGACAGGTCCTTACTGAGGCCTAGAACTTATTTCTAGCCCTAGCAGTGGTGGGCAGACTAGGCAAGTGCAAGGATGTGGGACCCTGTAAGAGCCTTCATAATGGCTGCTGGGCAGGTGCAGGGCTCCCAAATGTAACAATGCACTGATTGTGGGACTTTCCTGGCTCTGGAAGATTGCAGAAATGGGGTGATTGGCAGTTCAAGGGGACTCACCTACTTGACCCTGGAAGAGGAACTAGGATGTCAGTGAACCCAGTGGGATGGAGGCGGCAATGCAGAGGGACTTGTGGTGGGTTGCAATTAGGGAGGGCCCTTGGATAAACATAGATATTTTTCTGTAAAAGCTGAATGTTCAGACTAGGCTGGGGTATGCAACACCTTTGTGGAGGATCTAGGGAGTCTGGGTACCAAGTGTGGTGGTAGAGCCTATGATAAACAGAACAGGCTATAACCTGAAGGAGGATATAGGAAGTGTATTACCAAGTGTGGTTTTGGAAGTAGTCCAAAAGGGACTTGTTGGTGATTGCAGATAGGGTGTGTCCTATTTGCAGCCCAGAACTGGCTGGGAGGCAGGCAATATTGGTTAGACTGGGTAAAGAATGTGGGACTCTCTTGAAATCAAGTTAGGAAGGGTCCTACTTGAAGTATACAACTTGTTTACAGCGTAAGTATGGTTGGTCAGATTAGGCTAGAGCAAAGCATATGGGTCCCCTGTTGGGCCCTAGAAGAGATTGTGGGGTTGGCTCTGTGTACTGAGTGGGTTCATGGGGGTCACACAGAATGAATCAGTCTAGACATTAGAGCAGGCTGTAGGAAGTCTGGGTATCAAGTTATATGATAGAGGCAGTGCAGAAGGTGCCTGTGAGTGATTGTAGGAAGGTACGTTCTGGTGAAAGCCTAGAGTTTGCCTTTGGTGCAAGTGGTTTTGGTCAAAATATGCAGGAGCAATGGTTGTAGGATTCTGGAGGAAGCCAAGAAGTTGTGTGCTACAAGTTGGAGCTGTCCAGAATAGTCCAAGGAACAAGTTGTGGGACGCAGACTAGATCTGGAGGGTTTCAGAGAACACTTGGATTAGGAAGTCTGGGATGCTTACCTTGCTAGACACTAGAGGATGACATGGGGAATGTGTATATGGAGTGGAGTGGTAGATGCTCCGTAGAAGGTCACTATTGGCAGTTGCAGACAGGACAGGTGCCTCCATTGTGGGCAGAAGAAGCAAACAAGCCTGGAGAACAAGAAGGGGGAACCAGATAAAATTCTTATGGAAGATGTGGGGATTCTGGGTACAGAAAGGTGTGGAGGATGGGGCACAGAAAAATCATGCTGGTGGATGTAAGGATTCAGGTTTTTCCTAATGCTTATTTACTAATTTGGATTCTTCTAAGGAATCCTCTCTCAGAAGCATCAAAACACACATATTTATTGCCTTGCAGCCTTAAAACGCTTCCTCATTCACTTCATTTTAAGATGTGCTAGAGGAGATTTGGCCT